TTAGGCTTTATCAGTCAAACTGAATTGAATTAAATTGAATTACAGAGGAAACGTAATATTCTAAGACAAAGTATTTTGAGGAAATAATGTCAAAACATTTTAGAGAAAAAAGTTGTAAATTTCAAGAAAAAAGTCTTCATATATTTATAAATTAAGTTGTAATATTTTTAAGGAAAAAAGTTTAATAATGTGAAAACATTTTAGAGAAAAATAGTTTGGTATATTTTGAGGCAACAAAGTTTTTTATTCTTTTATTGCGACAAACACAAAGTTTTAACATTTTAAGGAAAAAAGTTGATTAATGATATTTTACAGAAAAAGAGTTATAATATTTGGAGACAATAAAGTCATAATTTTAAAAAAGTCGGGTAAAGTCAAGCATCGTAGAGAATAAGAAAAAAAATCAGAATATTTTGAGGAAAAAAAGTTGAATAATGACGAAACATTTTGGAGGAAAACCTCCAGGAGAAGTTTCAGCTGGTTGTAATCTGTCATTTCTAAATCGTTGTTCCTTTAATGTTGTTGGCTGAAACACAAAGAGCTCAGTGCTCCAGTGATAAGCAGTAAACGTTTCTTCAGATGTAGTGATGCTTCCATAAATAAGACGTTAAGACCCAGGTACTGTCATGTTTCACTTTCTACCTGCTGTTGTCGGTGTTGCTCGTGTGTTTGAATCCTCAGGAGCACATCTCCTCTCAGGTAACATCTCATAAACAAACTCTGAGAGCTGAAGTCATAAAGTGTGTTATCGCTGTGACTCTGAACTCTGACCTAAGAGACAGACACTTTACTGCTCTGTGATTTATAATCAGCTGATAACAGCTGCAGGAGCTGTGACAAAACAACAACAACATCTTATTAGCATTTTAACAGTGCTGAGTGTTGTTGCTGCCCCCTACAGGCTGCAGGGTTCATTCCTGAAGTCACCGTGTTCCACCATATAAAAAACAACCACAGCCTCACGGACCACTCACGAGTCGGTGTACTCGTAGCAGGTGAACAACATGAACCAGGAAGTGGTTTCGCTAATGCTAACGTTAGCTCGCTGCTCCCAGCCTGCATTATTTTTATTTTTGAAGCTGTTGTGTCGTCTTCTGACTCTGTTGTCTCTTTGTGTTGCCCGTCTGCAGCCAGGCCACCGTTATTGGACCAATAGGTGGACAGAAAATAACGAGTAGGGTGTTGCTGCAGACCGGAGACTCTGAGAGGGCGTGGCAACTGTCAATCATTTTTAATTTGACCAATCAGAGGTTTACAATCCTCGGTCAGTCAAAAACTAGTTTCACTAATTTGCCGCCTGAATCAGTTTCAGTTCTACCGATCACTTCACAGTATGGCAGGGGGCGGTGGTACGATCAGGCAGGCGAAGAGTATTGTTGGTGAATCAGAATAAACCCTTTAAACAGCAAAGTCACAAGATGGCACAAACACACTAACTGATGGAGGCAGCAGTCGACCAGCAGCTCCTGTGTTCAGCGAGAGCGACGTATCGGCTTCATCTTCCTGTTGGAATCAGTGTCTGACAGAAAGGTGACGCAGTGAAAACACTCTCAACATAGCGCGCACACTTCAACTGATACTGATTTCTTTCTTTGGGTGTCTTAAACATCTTTTGTTGGGTCCCCTGCTCACAGCAGTACATCAGTTAACTTCCTGTTTGCTTCTCCAAACTGGAGGCGTGACGACTGACATCGACTGTAGGAAACACACTGACTGTGGATCAGGACCTCAAACAACCCCACCTCAAAAAAATCTGAGCTGTCCCAGTTAAAGAGGAACTTCACTGCTGCAGAGACGGCCCTTTAATCAAACTGGTCTGTCTCTGCAGAAGATGCAGATACTTTGGTGCTAAAGAACCAGAGACAACAGAGACAACAGAGACAACAGACAACAGAGACAACAGACAATGAGACAACAGACAACAGAGACAACAGAGGCAACAGAGACAACAGAGACAACAGACAACAGAGACAACAGAGGCAACAGAGACAACAGAGTAACAGAGACAACAGACAACAGAAACAACAGACAACAGAGGCAACAGACAACAGAGGCAACAGAAAAAAAAACAAGACAACAGAGAAAAAGAATGCTTTTGCTCAAGGGAGAAAACCTACAACTTCCAGAATGCACTGGACCACTGGATGGTGATGTAAGGCAAACACGTGTGTTTAAAACAATGTCACAACATTCTGGTGTAACAGTTCAACAGGAAGTTAAAACCTGTTTCTGAAAACATCTGAGGAGAGAGACAGACTACTCAGTGACAGAGTCTTGGTTTATATTTGATCATAGCTGCTTTCACTGTGCAGGAAACAGTATGGCGCCCACTTCCTGTTCACAAACTCTCACTGTTACAGTGAAACACAGCACTAAAATATGTATTTTAAAAACACAGTAGGAGAGAAAGCAGCAGAGCAGCAACATAATGTTGACTTACACTTGATCAGAGCTGGTTTTAGTTTGAGTTTGAGAGAAAGAGGGGCGGGTCTGTCTCTTGATCCACTTCTATACTCATTGTGTCGACGGTGGTAGCATGGGTGGCGAGCAATACGAAAATGTGGAAGTGCAGCCTGTAGTTTGAGCAGCAGCCCGAGAGCCAGTGAAACTCTGCTGGATGATGAGGACCGAGGAGGGGTGTCTGGGCTCTGATTGGATTGTTGCTTTACACAGACCATCACCACTGTTTAGATACAGAGCTGGTTGAAAATCTGTGAAGTGCCCTTTAAAGCAGAAACCTGCCGTGTGGTTTCGTCCTGTTTCAACACTTCCTGCAGCAAAACTCTGACACAAACGCCGCAGAGACTGAATACATCAGTTTAAATTCTCACCATCACACGATTCTGATTAACATTCAACAAGACGAGCTGCTGACCATCACATCTGCTGCTTTTTCACCAGAGAACACGCAGAGCAGCACTTCCCACGACTCCGTCTGTGTGTGTGTGTGTGTGTGTGTGTGTGTGTGTGTGTGTGTGTGTGTGTGTGTGTGTGTGTGTGCGCCCTCATGCTCCACTCTGGTGGCTGCTGACAATCAGATGCAGTGACGCTGACTCGACTCTTTCTAACCTGCAGTCAGACTTTTCTCAGGCAGCAGGTGCACTTGTTAGTCCCACCCACCTCACTTGTGACATCACTTCCTGTCTAGCTTCTGGCCCATTGCCTTTCTATAAGTTCAATCAATAGATCATTTATGTGTCACATGGTTTTACACGAGGCACAGTTTAGTCCTTTTTATGGTCGTCTGTCATCGCTGGCTGCTGCTGTGTTATCGTCTGTGTCTCCGGATGGTTCCAACATGAAGCTCAGCGTAACTTCAGACAGGAAGACTTTCTTTATGCTTCATCCATTCACAGTTCTCTCTGGGTTCATCCCAACACCTGATCTCACGTCTTAGCTCCGCCCTCGTAAGACACGGGGAGAGAAGAAATGCGGAAACATGTCTTTAGAGAAATAAGACGTCTTTTCCTCTGAAGCGCCATGTGAAGCGGCGTGTGTTTGTGATGACGGTGGCGGCTGATCACAGCTGGATTTTTACCAGTGGTGTTCAATATTTTTAAGTGCCGTGCGCATTTTGTAACCTGCACAACTCTCTCTGTGTGATCAGGGCCGCAGCTCTAGGTGTTAGAGTTGGTTCTGTTCTGGTAACTTTAACCCTTTCATGCATGAGTTATGACACTTCAGTGTCAGGTGTTTTTATTCCTCTTCAGGCAGAAAAAAACATTTAAAGTTTTTAAATGTACATTTTTCACGGTCAAAGTTCTGAACTGAAGAAACATAATCCAGTGAATAACTGTATATTATGTGAAACTATAAACATTTATCTTTAATGCTGTTAAACTTTACATTTCCTTTTAATAGTTTTTAGCCTGTTTTTTTTTCACTAGCAAAAATTAGCATCAGCAGAGTTAACCACAGCAGCTAACGTCCTGTGCTTTGACAGCGCTGAACCTTCATCCGACTCCTCAGCCTCTCCCCTCTCTCCTCCTACTCCTCCCTTTGTTCCCTCCCTCTTTCAGCTCCTTCCTCTTGACTCCTCTTTTTCTTATAAACATTTTCTCCAAAAACACTGTCAAAATATTTTTGTTACAAAAACTGTGAGTGACATTCTGACATCATGAATCAGTCTCTGCAGAGGACGTATTTGTGAGTTGCAGTAAAAGTATGAAGCACGACGTCCAGTTCAGTGAACATGTGATTTACTTAATTCCTCCCAACATAAAGAATAATAATAATTATAGTGCATTTCACTCATAGAGCACTTTTCATAGAACTCAAAGTCACTTCTCATAACGACCATAAAATACATACATTAAACATACATTACATTAAAATACACACAGCATTATTTGCACATTAAAAGCTGATCATAATCAATACTTTGACATTTTAGCAACTCTGTAGATGTTACCTGATGTAACCAGATTTTATTTACAGGCAGGGTCTCCTGTTGTAGAGGGACTGAGGAGATGTTCCTGAGCAGCACGGTGTTCGTGCCATTCCGTCGGCCATCTTGGTTTTGAGAGATTCTTGTTGCACGTACAAAGACTGGCCAGTGGGGGGCAGTGTGTGGCGTGACACAGGGTCCACCGCTGTGGCTCCGACACAACTCAAAAGTCTCACTTTAACTTTACATTGCGAACATGCAATAATCGACCAGCAGCCAGCAAAGAATCAGAATCACAGTGTGTCCGAGAGATGACAGGTCGTTACTGCGTTCTTATTAATGTTCAACACAGTGCTGATGAGCTGTGGTCAGCTCTGTGTGTGTGTGTGTGTGTGTGTGTGTGTGTGTGTGTGTGTGTGTGTGTGTGAGGGCACTTCCGGGGAGTTATGATAAACTGCCTGTGTGCCTGACAAGACAAGTTCAGGGGAATCAAAGTCCTACTTCATGACATCACAGGAAGTTTTTTTTTAATTTGAATTTGTCTCATTTCTTCTGTCTGAGTGTTGGTGATAAAATCAGTTTCAACCTGACAGACAGACAGACAGACACTTACAGGCATGTGGAGTTTCAGCGGCCTCCTCCTCTTGCTCCTGCAGCTCCTCTCCGCTTCCTCCTCCTCCTCCTCCTCCCCCTCTCTCCTCTCTGCTGTGCTTCTCATCAGCAGTCAGAAAATCCTCTCAGCTCAATTATCAGATTATCTCCAAGTGTCCAGGAGAGCTCCTCTGTGGTCCTGATGCAGAACTGCTGGAGAGTTCATGCAGGACTCAGACTTCTGTCCTTCTTCAGTGGGACTCACCGTGATGTATGTGTCAGTGTGGTGTCATGTGGTGTAGTGTGGTGTCAGTGTGGTGTAGTGTGGTGTAGTGTGGTGTCAGTGTGGTGTAGTGTGGTGTAGTGTGGTGTCAGTGTGGTGTAGTGTGGTGTAGTGTGGTGTCAGTGTGGTGTAGTGTGGTGTAGTGTGGTGTCAGTGTGGTGTAGTGTGGTGTAGTGTGGTGTCAGTGTGGTGTAGTGTGGTGTAGTGTGGTGTCAGTGTGGTGTAGTGTGGTGTAGTGTGGTGTCAGTGTGGTGTAGTGTGGTGTAGTGTGGTGTCAGTGTGGTGTAGTGTGGTGTAGTGTGGTGTAGTGTGGTGTCAGCCCGGACTGGATGCTCTGTTGTGACTGTAGCAGCAGTCGTGTCTCTCCTGGCGCAGAGTTTCCAGACTTGTCATTAAAGTATGTGTGATGATGGTGATGAGAGCACGAGCCGGACCGCGGACAGCCTGCAGGATGAAAACATCGGAGCGGTGGATCGTTGGTCCTCTCCCCCGCTGATCGGATCCTCAGAGGCTGAGCAGCAGCTCTGCTGACGCGGCCCCGGCGGGTCACACCGCCTCCCGGTGCTCGGTTGGTGAGTGAGGAGACAGACCCGGTTTGAAACGGACAGCTCCGTCAGGTGAACCCTCGGCGGCACAGACCGGCGGTGAGCGGCTCCATGACGGAGCGCAGCGCCGCGGACAGCAGCGAGGACATTACGCACGACGCAGCGCGCGCTCTGAGCTGCAGGAGAGAGAATACTACTGTTACTATGACTACTGCTATTGTTACTATCACTACTCCTACTCTCACTCCTACCCGTCCCAAACTGATCCATCTGCAGCCTTTCATTCATTCATCATCACTGCACTGAGGGACAGTTTGTATCCTGTTACCTGAGTGCTTCCACTGTCTGTCACACTGACCCTATGGACCTCTCACTGCAGTGCATGTGTCTGATGCACTGACTGCAGCTTCACATGTTACAAGGTGCAGTTCTAAAATGACACAACCCCCCAAAATATGCAGCTTTAAAAGTCCTGCATACACCTGCACAGTGAATACTTTTCCTGTCAGTACACAAGGTGTAATGTTTCTGTAAAAGTTTGAATGCTGAGCGTTAAACTGCCCAAAATGAGCCGGGCCAGCATCGGCCGCACTGGGTCTGCTGTAAGAAATAGATTGGGCCACATCCGGTTGCTCGACTCAGCGAGACTTGGGATTAATGACCCCCAGAATCAGGCCACATAAACTGGCCTGACAGAGCCATCACTGGGTGGCAACAGGAAATATACAATAAGCAAACAGTAACTGTCAGAATACTACTTCAGGCTACTATTACTATGAGCACTGTTACATGTGTGTGGTGTGCGTCTCTCCTCAGGTACCGCTCTGCTAGTTATAAACCACAGACTGTATAAAATAACTCATCGCCCACTGGTTTTAGGGACTCTTGTCTTGAAGCCTTCACTTAAGCATTTTGGCCGTCACCATCTTGATTTTTTTGGAGCCAGATGTGACCATGTGTGGATGAGAGGGTGAGGAAAACCACCCTTTAGGTTCACTGTTTTGTCGGTGAACCTAAAAGTCAAAATATGGCGCGCTGGGTGTCCTCTTGCGTCTGCTTCGGACGTTCAGGGATGGTGTGTCAGTTTACGCTTGTAACATGCAGTGTGTCTTTTCTAAATAAACTAACCATGTCAGTAAAACACTCTCAACTGAAGCATGTGGGTGAGTTTAGAGAGAAACATGGTTTGTCATGTCATTCACACAGGAACCATACAGCGGGCTCGGGGGTGAAAGTCTGGGTTGTTTTTGACCGATCCACCGCCCCTCCCGTCCACCATATATGGACTTTGTTGCCCTTTATATCCCGACCACGGCGTATCACACCACTGAGTGTCTCTCTGCATTCATGTCTGACACCGACGTCAGCTGATAAAGCACTGGCACTGGACGAGTGGGGTTGTTGTCCGCTGCCTCTGAGGTCATGTTTACACAAAAACGATCTGCTGGAAACAGAATCGTTTCTCATTTTCGTGTTGATAAAAGTTCTGTGTTCAGACGACGTTTTGATAACAAGAGCCATGCACACGGATCCGCAAAAACGCTGTAGTACACATGCCAGGCCAGTAGGTGGTGGTGTGACTTTGTAATGAAACAACACGTGCCTGCGCTTCCTTCTACAGAGCGGTGATGTATTAACAAACAAAATAGCAACCTTGTCTGGACGCGACGATGAGGTGGAGTTGCTACAGTAAATCTACACTATGATGGAGAAGCATTGATGAAAGTCAACAGGCTGAGCAGCACAAACAGAGCTCGGGAGGCCGCCATTGTTGTTGTGATGGTCAACTTTCTCGCACATGCCTAGTGACGGGAACCGTAATGAGCATGTGCGAAAAGTCTCCGTTTTCAGAGGAACTGCATATTGCAAGTTTACATGACAACGGAGACGGTGCCGTGTCCAAAACATTGCACTCTGGAACCCATTTGCGTTGTCAGTAGTGATGGCCAAATGAAGCCTCATGAAGCATTTTCTTCATTTTCTGAGCCCACTAGATGGCGCTCATGGTTTAAAGAGAGAGGCTCAAAGAATGGCAATTCAGTGTGCTTTCAACCTTTTGTTGAACAAAAAGCGCCATCTAGTGGGCTCAGAAAATAAAGAAAACACTTCATGAGGCTTCATTTGGCCATCACTAGTTTTCAGGCACCCAAAATGCAGCTGTCGTGTAAACGATCAGCCAAATCGTAACTAAAGTTTACCACTTTCAGTTGAAATCGTTGTCGTATAAACAGAACCTAACACTGACACACCCAGGATAACGTGTCACCACATACGGTGTCTCTCTGCATCGGCCTCTGACCCTGACATCACTGTCAAAGCAGCGGGATTTGATGACTTGGTAGTGAGAGCAGGATAATGCTGACGTTAGCTGCCGGGTGCATTTACTGCTGCAATTAACTTTGGTGATGCTAATGTGAATTTTTGCTAGTGAAAAAAAAAATCAGGTTTAAAACCATTAAACCAAATAAACTTACCAGAAAAACTGAACCTCTGACTCCTTAGAGGTTCTTTTAGTCCAAACGCTGAACGAGACTTTTTTAGACGATCAAAACACTACAATTAACTTTCATGAACCGAAAACACGCTGAAGTAATGACAGCTACGACTGCGCCTGTAGAGGATGTGAAGTTGACGTTGTGTTGATGCTGTGTTGTAGGATTACTTTGCTGATTTTCCATCAGCTTGGTGTCATAGTGTGGGCTGTCTGTGTAAATGAACTGTGTTAAACTTCCCTCCATCTAACCAGCGCCCAGATCTCGCTGCTCCCGTCCCAACCAAACTCTCTGAGAATCTGAATGTAGAAACCAGCTGATGGTAAAAATGAAAACAAATGGTCTCTAACTTTAAGTTAATGTATTTTTGAATGAATGGTTAACTCATAGATGAGTAAAGTGATGCTCAGAGATCAGAAGAGTTTTTCCATATTTAAACTGTATTTAATATTCTGGTGACACTCAGATCCTCCGTCCGGTCCAACAGACAGATGTTTCTGAACACAAGCCGTCTATAACATAATGTATATGTAATATAACACGTTTACTTTAAAGACGGTTGAAACCCAAAATGATTCAGACTGAAACGTGTCTCAGGGTGCGTTCTGACTTTTTACTGTTAGTTTGTGCTGCAGCTGCCCTTGAAGAGTGCGTACTGCTGCATGCAGGGTGGACACAATCCAGACATCCTCGTAACGTTACACCCTGAACTTTGACCCTCTTACTCATATATCTGTTACCATGGAGATAAATCAAAATGCCGTTCACAGCTCTGGTGCTGTTATTTTACAATAAGTCACAACTGCATACGCACCTGTTGGTGACGTTACAGAGGCTGCACATTTCTTTATGATTACTATGAAACAATTAATATTCTTACTTTCACTGTTCGACTGGTCATCAGTGTTGTCATCGTGACCTCTGACAGTTGATGTGACGTATCGTCCGCTGTGCAGAGGATTGTGGGTCAGAATAACCAGTAAAGCCTGCTGGCCTTCAAACTGCAAAACCAGACCAGATGTAGTGGAACATCTTGGTACGTTTGGCACACTGCTTCTGACATAATATGTAGTGGGACACACTAAATCTTTTCTGACATACTCAGTAGTACGGCAGTATGGGGATTGGAGCTTCCTTTGGACAGGTCCTCCCAAAGAGGGATCCTGCAGAGGCAAGGCAAGAGTCCTTCCTCTCATTCAGTGAACACACATGTGTGTCCCCAGGTCATCGTCATTAACCCTCAGCAGACTGAAGGGGTTTCAGGTGCTGTGTACTGGGCACCATCACCCCTGAGCTTCAGTCTGGAGCGTGGCACAGTCAGGAGCCCCAGGTCAGCTCACCTGAGGGACCTGTGGGCAGAATAGGGAGTTAGGAGGTCTGCGATGTGGGATGTAGAACCTTGAAGTCAGTCCTGAACTTCACAGGCCGCCAGTGGAGAGACGCTAACACAGGTATGATGTGGTCTCTCCTGCAGGTTCCTGTGAAGAGCCTGGCAGGGTCTCATTACAGCACCATTGACGATGAATTCTTGAGCCGCACAACATGTATTTCCTGGAGCTTCATGTTGTTGTGCTGTCAGTCGCAGCCGAGGTGTTTCAGACCGGAGGTTTGAGGACGTGTTTTTCACAGTGGAAACAGTTGTAGTCCGGCTACCTGCAGCAGCAGAGTTCCTGTCATCATTCCTCCTGACAAAATCAGAGTAATCGGAACATTTCGATTACTGAAATGACTCTGCTGATGTGATGTTGTATGTCATGTCAGTAGTGACGTGATAACAAGCTGGTTGGTTTTGCTCTTTAATATTTTGCCCTGAGCCCATTTAATATCTGTTATCAGTGCCCATCCTGAGCTGGGCCACGGGGAGGCCACTGTTGGGCCAGGTGTGGCCGCAGGCCGCCAGTTGAGCAGCCCTGGTGTACATTTATTTTAAGAAATGAAGCAAAGCAAAAGTGAATGTTGACAGAAAGACTCAAGTATGGTGTAAAGTATTAAAACTACAACGTTGGACGCTCAGTACAAATAAAGTTCTGTGTGACCACCTGTACAAACATAAACTGCTCAAACTAACACACACACATTTTATTTCTACTGATTTATTCATAGATTTATTTATTACTTATTTTGATGACAAAAACAATCAGGTAAACAACATCAAACAGAAGTGATCCATCCAGTGATATGAAGATGTTTTATGTGTCTCTGTGACAAGTTGTGACAGTTCCTGTTCCTGCTGCAGAGAGTTCGTCCTGAAGCTCGCTGCTGGAGTCACTCCCTCCGCCGTGATGACGAGAGCTTCAAACAGACAGAGTGGGGAGGGTCCGCTCTGGGAAAGGCCTGAGGCTGTGCTTTTATTTTGAAAGTTGTGACCTGAACAGTCTTCCTGTTACCTGGAGTCTGATTAGTTTTATTGTGAAAGTGGTGAGTGGAAGTCACATGGTTTGTGTTCCTGTGAGGAAACTCTCTACAGACACTCGGAGGCTTTGTGTTGCTCTGCCTGTGCAGCTACAGTCATGTCAACATACAGTCACATCAAAGAGACCCTATAAACTGCATCAAAAGTTCTCTGCTCTTCCTTCATGATTATAAAAAGCTCACTATGTGTTCCTCTCATCATGTGAGTGACAGACCTGTCTCCTCTTGGTTTAATATTTCTCATGTTGTTCCCAACATGTGAAGCACAGTGTCTGCAGCAGAGTGCTGTGTGCACAGAAACACGGGACAAACTGCGTCCTGTGTTGACTCAGTCAGGGACAATATGGGACCACCCTGTATTATACGGGACGGGTGGCAGCTCTATCGCCTACATGCCTGTTTGACTCAGGCTTTAGTGATGTCACCACCACGCTCCTGAGAATGCTGTGACATTCGTAACGTCGCTACTTGTGGTGACGCTGCTGCCCAGCACTGGTTATTTGTGACAGCGTGAGAGTTTACTGCTCTGACTTTCAAGAAGAGAAACAAACGTGTTGCTCATTTCAGAGACTTTTATTGTCTCTGTTATAAATGACTCTTGTTCTTTAATAAAGCTAAAGTCATGTCATGAGATCACGCAGTATCTCTTATCTGATTAATTGCCACAATAAATGATAGAACACTAAAAGAATCGATAGCCAGAGCCCTAGTTGCCATGGAAACGATGAAGTAAGGATTACAATCCTCATAACTGCTGTCATATTGTGTCTGCTCATCTGTCCCTGCAGATGAAGTCAATCTCATGTTTATGGCTGTTCTGTGAGTGAACAAAATAAATGAGGACGAGCTGTGTGTCGGCCTGTTAGTGACATCAGCAGCTCACCTTCTGGTGTGATGTGACCTGACACTGCGCAGCCTGTGTGTCTACATATTACTGTACCATGGTTTTAACAGGCTGCAGTAATTCTGTTACAAACGCTTTTTAGTTGGCTATTGCAAAAAAAAACAAAAAAACTACAGCTTCCCGACAGTTTCCAGCAGCCGTCAGTATTCTGCTGCTGAAAGACCTTCTTCTTCTTATGGGTGTTATTTTAGATCGATGTAAACGGGGCCGTGCACTCCTGGCAGCCGCCGCAGGAGCTCAGGTTTTACGGGGTCAAAGCCGTCAGTGGAAACAGCAGGAAGGAAAAGCTGCTGATGTGTCTTCAGTCCTGAGTCGTCGTGGATCCTCCTCTAAAGCTTTGTTTCATCATTTCCTGGCACGTTTAGCCTAGCTTAGCACAAAGACTGGAAGTAGATGGAAACTGTTAGCCTATCAGAAGAGAGGAACAGCTCCTGCTCGGTCTGATTTACACGGATGAAGAGGTGATGAAGGTTGTCCACAGCTGACGGTGTCTTTGTCCTCATCACTGACAGACTGAATGCTGTTGTTTTGAAACTTTAAGGTAAACAACAGCCGTTACTGTGGCACACCCCGTCAACAGGAGCTATGACATGTAGTCATTATAATCGTCGTGTCTTTGACTTGTGACCTCACTCCATCAGCTGACGGGAAATGAGCGAGCGCTGACTGTGAAGCCAAACATTTCCTGAATGGAACTTTTATTTTGAAAATCCTCTGTCTTTGTGACAGTGAAGCTCAGCAGTGTTTTCTGTTCACTTCAACACAGTCTGAGTTTGATCACAGCAGCACCTGGTGGACGACAGAGGAACTGCAGCTCCAACACTCTGATCTGGACTGGATCAGACTGGCTTCATCTCTGGGCAAACAGGGCTCCCAGTGTGACCCCAACTGCTCCCAGTACAGCCAGTCCCACCACTGTCCTCAGAGACCAGGAGCTCACTGGAGGTCTGGACTCACCGTACAACTCCACAAAGGCATCCTGGGACATGAGACAGGAGACAAATGCAGTCAGCTCTTTGTCTTTTGTTTGACCAATAAAACAAGTGCTTAACACCAGTATGCAAAATGTATATAACATAAGTACATATAAAAGGCTGAGTATGTAAAGTATATATAATGAGAATAAGAACAATAAGTGCATCAGTCGTGTTAGAACGAATAAATTGGGGAATGTTGCACAGTTGATTTATGGCACAGAGTATTTTACAGCTGAGACAGTGGAGCACAGAATGATTATATCTTTATGTCTCTATTATTATTCGAATATAATAATATAAATCATTCACATTAACATCAGTTTAATTTCATAAATTCAACACTATAGTGCAGACGCTATGTTCACACTTTGGATGACCACCTGTCACTGTGGGTGCAGTCTGTAGTAACGTGTCAGCGCCACAAGATGTCAGTAGCTACATGTGAAGTACTGCTGGGGCAAACATTTCACAATAAAAGTCTTGTAGGGAATAGAAGGGATTCTGTCCACTGCAAACACTACAGGGCTCTTAATGTGAAAGGCAAACAGGATGCATGGAGCTTGTATGAATAGCATGATGATGGAAGACAAGTGTCACAGGACAAACAGGAGCAGGTCGGACAGATGGACGTGTCACACTCAGATACCAAACAGAGTCAGTGCGACACAGAGACGAAGAACTGCATTAACCACAACGTTACGGCTGCTTGTTCACTGTGTGAGAGATGAGGCGAGGGTTAGGGAGGAAGTGTTGGGTTCTTTCCCTGCGTGCTGTGTGTGTGCTGATGTGGAACAGTAATATGGTGATTAGGGGAGAACCCTTCTTTGACACAGTTCCTCACACACACACACACACACACACACACACACACACACACATAAATGTCTGTGTTTCACAGGATGAAGAGTCTTTCCTTTAAAGTCTCATCTACACCCAATATTTTTCAAGTTAAAGATCTCAAACCTTAGAGATATATTCCTCTTTAAAATCTGTGTCACTGAGCTGCTCACAAGTGAGTCTGATGAATCATCATCATCATCATCATCACTACACAGGTGAGTCTGAGTTGCCTATCCAGAGCGTCCCACACATGCTCAGTGGGTGACACGTCAGGTGAGTCTGCAGGCTGTGAAACAACTGGGATGTTTTCAGCTTCCTGCATCATCACGCTGTGATATGAGGTCATGGCGGCCCATTCTCATCCCTAAGTCGTTAAGTGTCGCCACCTGTAATAAACCCTCCTCTTGCAGCTGTATGATACGCCACTGGGCAGTGTGAGTTTAGAATGCAGCCGGAAGGCGTCAGTTTGAAACGCTGTGGGACAACAACGTAACTTAAGGAGCTGGAAAATCGCCCTACAGGGCGCAGGACGGGAGGTCTTTCACCGGGGAGCTGCTCTTCACTTCCTGTATGTATGCAGCGCCAAACTACATTGTTTTTTTTCTACACCTGACCACATGCTTTTGTTGCAGAATGAAATAAACTTAAATACGAGGTGTTTTATCAACGTATGTTTAGTTTGAAAAAGACTGTTCGTGTCTAACAAGCAGAAACTGTGCATTTCCTGTGAAAACAGAAGTTTATTTTGAAAAGACACAGTACATGTCACAGGCGTAAACTGACGCAGCGTAAACTGACGCAGCGTACCTGAACGTCAACACCAGACGCAGGAGGGAAGCTAGTGCGAGTCAGCTGAACAAGCAGCGATATTTGACGAGCTGGGAGTGAGAACGTGTTGGTCATGGCGGCAGATGGATGGCGTGTCGATGGGTCCGACGCCATCGAAGGGAAGCAGTTGCCTCCTCAGGTCAGTTACGACGATGAACTGCTGTCAGGTCAAGACCGTGGTGAGGACGACGAGCGGCAGATGAGCTTCGCTGAGACGGTTTCTGACGGTTTGAGCAGAAATTCTTTGGGTGTTTAAACCAGTTACTGCAGGACTAAACGAACAAGCTCTGTTTCAAAATGACACAAATGAACACCAGATTGTAGCAGAGGCAGCGTGCAGTAAAATGAATCAATCAAATCCATACATCCTGCTGGTAAAACCATCCAGGTAATTAGTTCAGTCCCAGTTAAAGAGGTAATTAAACTGGTCTGTCTCTGCAGGAGAAAGAAGCAGATACTTTTAAAGTTGGTGCTAAAGAAGTACAGACAATAGAGACAACAGAGGCAACAGACAACAGAGACAACAGACAACAGAGGCAACAGACAACAGAGACAACAGAGATAACAGACAACAGAGACAACAGAGATAACAGAGATAACAGGCAACAGAGACAACAGAGGCAACAGAGACAACAGAGGCAACAGACAACAGAGGCAACAGAGATAACAGAGATAACAGGCAACAGAGACAACAGAGGCAACAGAGACAACAGAGGCAACAGACAACAGAGGCAACAGAGATAACAGGCAACAGAGACAACAGAGGCAACAGAGACAACAGAAAACAGAGACAACAGAGATAACAGAGATAACAGGCAACAGAGACAACAGAGGCAACAGAGACAACCGAAAACAGAGACAACAGAGGCAACACAGGCAACAGAGACAACAGAGACAACAGAAAACAGAGACAACAGAGGCAACAGAAAACAGAGACAACAGAGACAACAGAGGCAACAGAGATAACAGAAAACAGAGACAACAGAAAACAGGCAACAGAGACAACAGAGAAAACAGACAACAGAGGCAAAAGACAACAGAGACAAGAAGAAGCGGTTGTGAGTTCAGTCAGTCAGGTTAAGTTCATCAGCTGAAGGTGTCCAGGTTCATCTCTGCTCCATCAACAGATACAAATAATTATACTTTCATTATAATGACGTGTTTAATGATGTTTAATTCTCAGCCAGCGAAATGAAGAACAGTACAGAACATATATTTATACTATAAATACAGTTGTTTTCAAAATAAACGTATCACATCAGTCAAACACCTTCACGTTTATTTCCTTGTGCAGCAAAGAGCATGTGGTTAGGCATCATGGTTTGGCTCTACTTTCAGACGAGGTGCAAACAGCAGGGTCCTGGATGACAGTCCAGGGTTTGTGTGTTTGTCCTGAAAACCGAAACAAGAGGAGGTGCAAACGTCTAGGTCTCTCTCAGATCACTTCGATTACAAAATGATGGAGGTTATTCTGCCCCAGCTTTAAGTAAGGAGCACTCCTCTGTCCACTGCACAGCTGGACCTTTATCACGCTGACAGGAGAGAAACTTTATAATATGATTTATCTGTTTAAAACTATTTAGGTCATATTTTTAAAACAATCATCAAACATGCATCAGTGTCCTGTGCTCAGATCTATCTCAGCGTGTCAGTGGAAAATTTTGGAACTGAATTCTGAGAAAGCAGCTCGGCTCACCACTGCCTGTGTTCGTAGAGCTAACTACACACACACATACACACACACACACACACACACACACACACACACACAGCTTCTCCTGCTGCAGTGTTAGTGTGTTGCTCAGCTCTTAAAAAGCTCTGAACAGTCACTGCCAGACTCCCTTTGAAAATCCATGAAAAACACACACACACACATCCACTGTGTGTGTGTGTGTGTGTGTGTGTGTGTGTCTGTGTGTGTGTAAGTATTTATGTGTTATTCAAGCAGAGTTTCTACAGAAACGGTCTGTCAGCTGATCTGAAGCCTGAAGCGGAAACTCAACCACACAGATTACCTGGAAACATATTTCTAGGTAATACCACACACACACACACACACACACACACGTCTTATCAGGCAGCAGATAAAACTGAAGGAAACCACAGTGACAGGAGAGAATATAAATAGAAAGTGAAACTTGTGTGTGCTGTGTTCAGGGTCTCATGTCGTCTCTGATGGTTTTTAATTTCAGGTTTTCCAGTTGAAGTTTTGAACTGAGCTGTAAACAGAGAATGTGTTTTAATCAGAGGTTTTTAATCAGTCAGCGTGTTCATGTGTTCAGGAGCGAAGCTGAGGGGCATTGTAGTGTGTGTTGGTTTTGTTTGCATTTTTTTTCCATGTAATTAGTATCATTCATTCATTTTCCGTAATCGCTTATTCTGTTCAGGGAGACGGGGGTGGAGCCTATCCCAGCTGATACTGGGTGAATTTAGAGTCACCAATTAACCTGCATGTCTTTGGACTGTGCGAGGAAGCTGGAGGAAACCCACGCTGACACAGGGAGAACATGTCAGAGCACCTGGAGGAAACCCACACTGACACAGGGAGAACATGTCGGAGCACCTGGAGGAAACCCACGCTGACACAGGGAGAACATGTCGGAGCACCTGGAGGAAACCCACGCTGACACAAGGAGAACATGTCGGAGCACCTGGAGGAAACCCACGCTGACACAGGGAGAACATGTCGGAGCACCTGGGGTGTGTCAGGCCTCAGGCCTACTTCTTTATATACAAAGTTCAGTCTCAATTAATTCAGCTAACTTTCATTTAGTTATTGCACTAATTATTTAGAAATTAAAAACTGCAAACAAAACCAAACTTTTTGTTCCAGACTTTTCCCCGTTAGGGTTCTGGGTAATCAGCCCCACTTTCGCCCCACTGACATGAGCTGGTGGTAAATCAGAGCCTTTAAATGGAGGTTTGGTAGTTTTTTATTAATGATGTGTTTTGGCATATACCAGTTAACTTTCTGATGAATGGAGCCATGAACAGGAAGCTGATTTTAAATATGAGGTTTTCCAGTAGAAGTTTGGAATAACGCCAATAATGAGCCGCTGGTTTTTGTCTGTTTTGGTTGTCTTCATAAATCCTACAATTTTCCAGAGGAAGTTTGGAACAACCAGACTTTTCAAACCATTGTTTTCAGGTCATATGGGCATTTTTGGGCCGATAAAGAATCTGCCAGTTATTAGTCACATCCATCTTTAGTTTACTGTGTCTCTGTCTCAGTTTCAGTCTGAACAGTCTGTTTCTCTGTCTGTCTGTCTGCATATCTCTCACTCTTTCCTTCACCCTCTCACTGTCTCACACACACACACACACGCACACACACACACACACACACACACACACACACACAGTTCCTCTGCAGAGTTTTAGGGATTTTCTGCACTTTGCATAAAATTTGCATTCGAACCAAAATACATCACATGTGAGTCACATCTGATCTCCCCACTGAACCACACACACACACACACACACAATTTTATGGTTGTAAAAACCATATAACTCGTTCAGTAAGAAGATTTACCACAGACCATGATGTTGATATTACTGATAATATCTCTCACTGATTTCTGATTAATTGTCTCAAGCTGTTCATTTGACATCAATCCATCCAGACGGAGGAAACCACAGGGACACCATCCTGGATCTCCCTCAAAAACCCCTCCATCCCTCTCAACCACCCCTGAACTATTTCAGTGACTCCTGGAAGGACTCACGGGTACTTTTCAAGGACCTTTGACCTCCCATCAAACACCACAGGAGCCCTCTCAAGCCCCCTGGAAACCAAACGAGACCCACTGGAACCTTAACAACCACTTTAGGGACCCCCAGGATCTTTTAAAATACCCCAGGAGGGGTTCAAGTTATTCTGGAGCCCTGTCAAAGACCCCTTGGGCTCAGACCCCTTCAAGGACCCCCTGGAACCCAGATAAAGACCATACGAGCCTGGAATCCTGATGACCCGTAAACCTTGTCCTGGAACAGTGATGATGTCTCATCCTGTCAGACATTTGTGTCCAAGTGGACGTTTGTGCCAATTTTGAAAGAAAAAAAAATCCTTCAAGGTGTAGTTGAGATCAAGTCACAAGAATGAGACAGACGAGACCACAGTGACCTTGACATCTGACCTATGACCACCGAAATCTAATCAGTCCATCGTTGAGTCCAAGTGGACGTTTGTGCCAAATTTAAAGGCATTTTTGGGAAATAACATTCATGAGAATGGGATGGACAGACAACCTGAAAACATAATGCCTATGGCCACAGCTACTGCGGCACAGAGGCATAAAAACATCTTTTAAACCAAGAGACGTTTAATTTTGATGAACAGCCTCTACGATATCCACAGTACATTATATTTTTAATGTTTTATATTTTCTCCTGTTAACAGACCCACACATGCTTTGACTGATAGATTCACAGTGTCTCAGTCTGATTCATCAAAATTCATATTGTCACTGCCTCAGGCTCTTCCAGCCTCCAAACCTGCCATTCTCCACCTGTCCACCAGGTGGCCCCAGTCATCTGACTCCTTCGTCCACCTGCTCACCTGTTCCTCATCCACCAGTCACCTCTCACAGTATTTATACCACCCGCTAATTTGTCAGAAAACTGAATGCAGTCTTGTTTGAGAGGGCGAGTACGAGACAGACTCTGAGATGAGATGAACAACGTGGACACAAAAGGAGGCGAGGGCCAGTGCTACGTTAGATCCACAGAAAACTCAATGCAGTTTGGTTTAAAGAAAGAAGCAAGAAGAACAACATGCATCCTCCTACCCATCCTCCGTGGTCGTCTATCCATCTCCGGAGCGGCGGTGAGTCCAGACTCTCCTCCATCCACCCGGCAATGTCGTCCACCTGCCGCGCCTCGCCCGTCTTGACCACCTCTTTGCACAGAGCCCCACCCAGCTCCATCATGGCCACGATACGTCCCCAGTTCACCCCATCCTTGAACAGTTCATCCCTGACTGCCGCCAGGCCTCGCCGACGCGCCGACCCACCGCCGTCGCACAGCAGCAGTGCCGACACCTGGGCCGACAGGTCGCCACGGTAACGGCGCTCAAGCTCATCTCCTGCCCACCTCAAGACGGCCTGCAGCCGGGGCGGCGCCAAGCAGGGATCTAGGAGGAGACGGCAAATGATCAAGGGGGAAATGAGCGATGTCATTACCAGGAACAGACAGCAGCAAGACAAAAGGTAGGGGGGTAAAAAGTGACATCATAACCAGGACAGGAAACAAGACACGTGACATCATATCAAAACAGGGTGACATCATCACAATGGAAGCAAAACAAGGTGATGTCACCTGACCCCGCCCTCTTCTTCTCTCTTATGATTATGATGTCACATTGTACGATGAGCAGTGACATCATCATACCACAAGAAAAAGTAGGTGGTCTGCAAAGAAGGATCACATGACATCATAACAGGACGAGCAGAGTGGTGCGTAGTGCTCAGTAGTAGAAGTAGTAGTAGCTTTAAAGGTATGAGTACTTGTACCAGTGGTGGTGGCGTTAGCAGAAGCTTCGATAGTTTCAGTCGTAGTTGCTTTAGTAGTAGTTGTAGTACATGTGGTAGAAGTAGCTTTGCAAGCAGTACTCGTACTTGTAGTGGTAGGCCTAATAGCTTTAGTAGTAGTAGTACTAGTGGTGGCCTATTTGTGTTAGTAGTAGTTGTATGCTCAGTGGTGGCAGTAGTAGTTGGTGTACTTGTAGTAGTAGTAGTAGTTGTTGTAGCACCTGAAGTAGTAGTTGTTGTACTTGTGATGGTAGTAGTACTTGTAGTCATAGTCCTAGTAAGTGTAATAGTAGTTGTGGTAGTAGTAGTAGTAGCAGTAGTAGTACTTGTGGTGCTAGTATCAGTAGTTTCGTACTTGTGGCAGTGGTAGTAGCATCTTATTTGTGTTAGCAGTGGTTGTACTCTAGGCGGTAGTAGTAGTACTTCTTGTTGTTGTACTTGTAACAGAAGTACTTGTTGTCATAGTCCTAGTAGCTGAAATAGTAGTTGTGGTAGTAGTAGCCTACCCATGGTAGTAGTATTAGTACTTGTGATGGTAGTATAGTAGTAGTAATGGTACATGTAGTGGTAGGCGTAGTACTTTTAACTGTTGAAGTAGTAGTAGTAGCTGAAGCCTGTTTGTGGTTGCAGCAGTAGCTTCAATATGTTTAGTCTTACTCTCTTTATTTGTAGTTGTAGTACATGTGGTAGAAGTAGCTTTACTGGTAGTAGCAGTACTTGTACTTGTAGAGGTAGGCCTAGTAGCTTTATTAGTAGTAGTAGTAGTAACAATAGTAGTATTAGTACTTGTATTAGTAGGCCTAGTAACTTTAGTAGTGGCCGTGGGAACAGCCTTTTTGTGGTAGTTGTACTCTCAGTAGTTGATGTACTTAAAGCAGTTGTAGTAATGCTCGTAGTGACAGATGCAGTACTTACAGTCACATTAGTAAAAGTACCAGTCGTAGTTTGAAGAGAAATAACACGTAGACTACTAACTCATTGTTATGACGTCATAATCAACTTTTGGACACTGACAGGTGGGCGTGAACCCATCAACAGTTGCCACGACAACACAGTAAACCTCCTCACCTTGGTGTGACGTCATCGCCCCCTCAGATCTCCCTGACAAAGATGGAGGCGCCGCAACAGCGTGGTGTCTGCGCTGACCGCCCGTCCGGGCCGGCGGCGGGTCGCGCCAGGACACGCCGGTGCTGAGCAGCTTGTAGCGGAGGTAATCCTCCACGATGTCCCGGCTGTTGTAGGCGGCGGCCATCGCCCCCTCCAGGCCGCCGTCCCTCACTGCCACACCGACAACCTGCCGTTACAGCCGGTGGACTTCACACATGATCGTCACGGAGGAGCACGACACCTGATGACGTCAGCAGGAACGGTGCTGCAGGTGATCTGAAGATAAAAATCCACAGTTTGATCCAGCAGCTCAGGTGTTAGTCCCTCAGCTGTGAACACACTTCATCTTCTTCAGCTAATCAATCACCGATGATCGATCAATAATCAGTTTGATCCAGCAGCTCAGGTGTCAGTCCCTCAGCTGTGAACACACTGAGGTTTAAAACACCAGTTCTCTTCTGTTCGGTCACCGAGGCGAGGATCGATCAGTCCACAGCGAGACTGGATCGATGATGGTCGGGTGAAGCTGATCCTGATGATGAAGAGGACTCACTGTGAGGACAGGAAGTCGGTCAGCTGTGCACATACAACATGTATGATGATGAAGATGATGTCGGAGCTGAGCGGCGGCGGAGGAAACAGCAGAATCAACTCCTGTCGCCCTCACTGACGCTGCACGTGCCACACACGCACACACACACACACACACACACACACACACACACAGAGCCGGTGGTCACGCCTCCTCGGTGTGACCGTCGGGATTCCCCTCCATCGATGCTCTCAGCGCCAAACTCACGTCCCAAAGAGTCACAAATTGAAAGACATTAAGATGGTGATGATGATGATGATGAAGGTTTCTTGTGTCTGGTTGGTACAGAAATGTTCCGGCTCGCGGTCATTTCCTCCTGCGTCACTCTCATTCATGCTTTAACTGCAGGGTGTGGATGAGTGGGTCCTCACTGCACCTGTGTGCAGCAGCGCACGGTGCTCATAGGTACCTGTAGCATCAGTCGGTGGTGATGTCAGTATTAGCAGTACCCTAGTACTTCAAGTACAAATACTGCTACAGAAGGGCTACACATAATATTTATAGTAGTGATACCTGTAGAGGTTAGTGTTAGTACTAGTAATATTAGTTGTTGTATTATTTTTATCAGTGGTAATAGCACATGTAATAGTAGTGGAAGTGGTAGAATCAGTAGTAGTTGTGATAGTGATGCTACTAATATTAGCGTGCTCATACATGTGGTACAGGTATAGCTTTAATGGTAGTAGTACTTGAAGTGGTAGTGGTATTGATAATGGTAGTAGTACCTGAAGTGGTAGTGGTATTAATAATAGTAGTAGTACCTGAAGTGGTAGTGGTATTAATAATAGTAGTAGTACCTGAAGTGGTAGTGGTATTAATAATGGTAGTAGTACCTGAAGTGGTAGTGGTATTAATAATAGTAGTAGTACCTGAAGTGGTAGTGGTATTAATAATGGTAGTAGTACCTGAAGTGGTAGTGGTATTAATAATAGTAGTAGTACCTGAAGTGGTAGTGGTATTAATAATGGTAGTAGTACCTGAAGTGGTAGTGGTATTAATAATAGTAGTAGTACCTGAAGTGGTAGTGGTATTAATAATGGTAGTAGTACCTGAAGTGGTAGTGGTATTAATAATAGTAGTAGTACCTGAAGTGGTAGTGGTATTAATAATGGTAGTAGTACCTGAAGTGGTAGTGGTATTAATAATAGTAGTAGTACCTGAAGTGGTAGTGGTATTAATAATGGTAGTAGTACCTGAAGTGGTAGTGGTATTAATAATAGTAGTAGTACCTGAAGTGGTAGTGGTATTAATAATGGTAGTAGTACCTGAAGTGGTAGTGGTATTAATAATAGTAGTAGTACCTGAAGTGGTAGTGGTATTAATAATGGTAGTAGTACCTGAAGTGGTAGTGGTATTAATAATAGTAGTAGTACCTGAAGTGGTAGTGGTATTAATAATGGTAGTAGTACCTGAAGTGGTAGTGGTATTAATAATAGTAGTAGTACCTGAAGTGGTAGTGGTATTAATAATGGTAGTAGTACCTGAAGTGGTAGTGGTATTAATAATAGTAGTAGTACCTGAAGTGGTAGTGGTATTAATAATGGTAGTAGTACCTGAAGTGGTAGTGGTATTAATAATAGTAGTAGTACCTGAAGTGGTAGTGGTATTAATAATGGTAGTAGTACCTGAAGTGGTAGTGGTATTAATAATAGTAGTAGTACCTGAAGTGGTAGTGGTATTAATAATGGTAGTAGTACCTGAAGTGGTAGTGGTATTAATAATAGTAGTAGTACCTGAAGTGGTAGTGGTATTAATAATGGTAGTAGTACCTGAAGTGGTAGTGGTATTAATAATAGTAGTAGTACCTGAAGTGGTAGTGGTATTAATAATGGTAGTAGTACCTGAAGTGGTAGTGGTATTAATAATAGTAGTAGTACCTGAAGTGGTAGTGGTATTAATAATGGTAGTAGTACCTGAAGTGGTAGTGGTATTAATAATAGTAGTAGTACCTGAAGTGGTAGTGGTATTAATAATGGTAGTAGTACCTGAAGTGGTAGTGGTATTAATAATAGTAGTAGTACCTGAAGTGGTAGTGGTATTAATAATGGTAGTAGTACCTGAAGTGGTAGTGGTATTAATAATAGTAGTAGTACCTGAAGTGGTAGTGGTATTAATAATGGTAGTAGTACCTGAAGTGGTAGTGGTATTAATAATAGTAGTAGTACCTGAAGTGGTAGTGGTATTAATAATGGTAGTAGTACCTGAAGTGGTAGTGGTATTAATAATAGTAGTAGTACCTGAAGTGGTAGTGGTATTAATAATGGTAGTAGTACCTGAAGTGGTAGTGGTATTAATAATAGTAGTAGTACCTGAAGTGGTAGTGGTATTAATAATGGTAGTAGTACCTGAAGTGGTAGTGGTATTAATAATAGTAGTAGTACCTGAAGTGGTAGTGGTATTAATAATGGTAGTAGTACCTGAAGTGGTAGTGGTATTAATAATAGTAGTAGTACCTGAAGTGGTAGTGGTATTAATAATGGTAGTAGTACCTGAAGTGGTAGTGGTATTAATAATAGTAGTAGTACCTGAAGTGGTAGTGGTATTAATAATGGTAGTAGTACCTGAAGTGGTAGTGGTATTAATAATAGTAGTAGTACCTGAAGTGGTAGTGGTATTAATAATGGTAGTAGTACCTGAAGTGGTAGTGGTATTAATAATAGTAGTAGTACCTGAAGTGGTAGTGGTATTAATAATGGTAGTAGTACCTGAAGTGGTAGTGGTATTAATAATAGTAGTAGTACCTGAAGTGGTAGTGGTATTAATAATGGTAGTAGTACCTGAAGTGGTAGTGGTATTAATAATAGTAGTAGTACCTGAAGTGGTAGTGGTATTAATAATGGTAGTAGTACCTGAAGTGGTAGTGGTATTAATAATAGTAGTAGTACCTGAAGTGGTAGTGGTATTAATAATGGTAGTAGTACCTGAAGTGGTAGTGGTATTAATAATAGTAGTAGTACCTGAAGTGGTAGTGGTATTAATAATGGTAGTAGTACCTGAAGTGGTAGTGGTATTAATAATAGTAGTAGTACCTGAAGTGGTAGTGGTATTAATAATGGTAGTAGTACCTGAAGTGGTAGTGGTATTAATAATAGTAGTAGTACCTGAAGTGGTAGTGGTATTAATAATGGTAGTAGTACCTGAAGTGGTAGTGGTATTAATAATAGTAGTAGTACCTGAAGTGGTAGTGGTATTAATAATGGTAGTAGTACCTGAAGTGGTAGTGGTATTAATAATAGTAGTAGTACCTGAAGTGGTAGTGGTATTAATAATGGTAGTAGTACCTGAAGTGGTAGTGGTATTAATAATAGTAGTAGTACCTGAAGTGGTAGTGGTATTAATAATGGTAGTAGTACCTGAAGTGGTAGTGGTATTAATAATAGTAGTAGTACCTGAAGTGGTAGTGGTATTAATAATGGTAGTAGTACCTGAAGTGGTAGTGGTATTGATAATAGTAGTAGTACCTGAAGTGGTAGTGGTATTAATAATGGTAGTAGTACCTGAAGTGGTAGTGGTATTGATAATAGTAGTAGTACCTGAAGTGGTAGTGGTATTAATAATGGTAGTTAATATGTAATATAGTACTCCTCTATGTTTGTTTGTTTGTTTGTTTGTTTTCATTGAGAGGATCTGAGTTCGGTCTCTGCATCTGTCTGTTTGTTGAATAAAGTTAGTTTGGAAGATGTGAAGCAGCAGTCTGTGTTGTGTGTGCTGCCCCCTGCTGGACTCCCTGTGCAGTCACACAGGACATTAAATCCTCCGTCAGTGTGGCTCATGTTTCATCACATCAGGTGAATCATGTAGAGAACATCCCACACTGACCACAGGTACTCTACATTTATCCTGCACATGGTACAGCCTCTGTATTTAACCCATTCAGTGGACATTACCACAGCAGTGACGGACAGTAACTTACTACATTTACCTGTGTGCTGCACTGAAGTCTAAACTATGAACCCTAACTGTGCTTTATATTTTTACTCCACCTCATGTCAGAGAGGAATTATCATTATAATTATAATTATCAGCAGTAGCCTGGGATAAATATTAATGCTACAACTCTGACTCAGTGCAAAGATTTGTAAACCTTTTTCAGCCTCTATTCACCTGACTACAGTCCAGACGAGACATTCACTGTTCAAACTGATCAGCTTTGTTGTTCTTTATAAATATACACTCATTCTGAATTTGAAGCTGCAACATGTCCCAACAAAGCTTGGACAGCAGCATGTTTCCCTCTGTGTGATGTCACCTTTTAACACTCAGTCAGTGTTTGGGAACTGAGGACACTATCTATTGAAGTGTGTCCCACTTCAGTGTCTCAACAGTCCCATGATGCACCTCTCCGGGGTCGACGCTTCATCATGTCCCACACATGTTCAGTGGGAGACAGGTGTGGACTGCAGGCAGGTCAGTCTGGTACCTGCACTCTGTCACTACGGAGACACGCTGTTGGGACACGTCACAATGTGTCTCATTGTCTCGCTGGAAGAAGACGGGACGTCCCTGAAAAAGACGTCGTCTGGATGGCAGTATATGTTGCTCCAAAACTTGTGTGTACCTTTCAGCATTCATGGAGCCTTCACAGATGTTAAGTTACCCATGATGCACCTCTCCATCCCATCACAGATGCTTTGACCTTTGAGCTGGTAACAGTCTGGATGGTCCTGGAGGACACGACGTCCATGATGGGCTGGTCAGACCACTTTGTGTATATGTGTATATACATATATATA